AGAGATAGAGTGCTTGCCTGACATGTGCAAGCCCCTGGGTTTGGTTCCCAGTACAGATTTAAAAAAAAAAAAAAGATAACTGCAGCCTTACTAATTTGAGCTTTGAATGAAGGTGAAAAACCATTGCAAATTGACTTCAGAAAGAAATGTAAGGCATATGTTGAAAAGTATTGGTGGATCCTTTAGTGCAGATGTAGCATGTACCATCAGAATAACGGACTTTAATCCTTTCTGAAGAGGTTCAGGGTTTTTTTGTTGTTGTTTGTTGGATGTTTTTGGTTATTTTGTTTTGCAGTGTAGAATTAGGTGTACTCAAAAATCCCCTTACAAGTTCAAGTTTTATGCTTTTCATCCTTTCTCTTCTTCATGTCTAAAGAAGTAGGTAATAATAAGAGAAATCATTCTTTATTTGAAAGACACTTATTAAAAAATCTATGGATTCCAAATAAGCAAAAGGGATGATCCTCAACATCGTTAGCTGTTAAACAAATTTAAATTGAAATCACAGTGAGATACTACACACACACACACACACACACACACACACACACACACTCTATTATGTCTGAAATTAAGACTAACAAAGTCAAGTGTTGGCAAAGATGTCTCATCTGTTACTAATAGGAATAAAGAAAGATTATCATTTTTATATTTGCTCTTGTTATTCCATTTTTCCTAGTCTAGAATGATGAAGAGGTTTGGCCTAGTTTTGAATTATGTGTATCTGTCTGACAGTATATTATATTTCATTTGGAATTATTTGCTTTATGTTGAGCTTTTCAGAAACATGCAATATAAAAATTGGTGAAAAAGTAAAAATTTATCTTATTGGATTGTTTGCTTACTCAGATTTATTGCTGCTAAAATAACCAGATGTATTTGATGAATGAAGTTAGAAGTAACATATAATTTTATTCACATTTGTGAGCTACCTAAAGGAGTCCTTTTATACCTCCATTTTCCTCTCCCCTGGGAATATATTTTTTTAAATATCTTTTTTATTCCCCCTTAGAGCATATTTTTTTTCTCTCCATGGAAAGCAAAATATATTAGTGAAAATTATGCAACTAATACTTAAAAGTTCATTTGCAGCTGTGAACAAGAGGCAATGCACTTGTTTTCAGTTCTCTCTCAGTCCCTTTTTTTGAGGCTGTGTGGAGTGTCAGGGGAGGCAGACAATAAAATGAGCAATGTAGGATGACAGTGGCGTGGCTGGAAATGACATCTGGTCTACCGTCAGCAATACCCTTGCTTTCTGGTTTATATGGTGTTCACATCATGTCCAAGAATCTGACTGCAGCACGATGTGGTAAAGAGAGGAATGCACAATAAGACATGTCCTTCTTTGATGCCTTCCAATGAATACCAAAATGCCACAGGCTCCTTTGAAAAATAAAGCAAGCAGTTCTCGAAATGGTAGTGAAGGACAGGGTTCATGTGAGACATCCCTGTGGTATGTGTGAAAGATTGTTAAAAGAATTTCCTTGCTTATTTGCATAAGTAACTTCTTAATTATATGTAGGGTATAGATTGATCTTCTTGGGATTTCTAACTTAAGAAAAGCACCAGCACCTTAAGCCTAATTATTCATCAGCATTTGATGGAGGATGGTGCAGGACTTCTTTTCCTGGCTGTGTGTGAGCAGGTGTTTCTGTACCCTCTGTTCCTAACTACTTCATAATTTTAATGCAGCTGATGTTTGCTCAGAATACCAAAATACTGACTTTTCCTCCAAGATGATGTTCATTTTGTCACCCATCATACTTTTCTTGCTGTCAACATTTTCTGAGCTTGCTATGACCTACTTTAAGGGTCTCATGAGAAGATTAAATATTTGGGTGAATTTTGTGTAGTCGACTGCAGTGGCTGCAGCATTTGTGCTTGTGTTTTTCCAGCTTGTTCCTATGGAGATAATGGCCAGCCTTGTCATGCAAACCCACTGGCTGCTTTTTTTGGTAGACAGGCTTTTTAATTTGACTCTCAGAGAGCAATCTCCTTTGATTTGACAGATTCGACTTTGTAATGTACCATGTGTATCTTTTGGTATTTTGTCAGATGTTTTAATGACATGTTCACCTCGAGTTAATTTTGATTGGTCAGCATTTCCCTTAGAACTCTCTGTTTTTCAGGGGTTCATTTAATAGTTTTACGAGTGTTCTGGAGTGGAGCAAGCAATCATCCTGTAGCAATGAGATTAATTTGAAGAGACTTGAAGTGATGAAAAACACATAGCAAATTGTCTTTGGAAAGAAGTCAGTTCATAAATTGTATCTCAAGAGAGAGTGTGGTAGGGGGTACCTGTTTAAAGGTTAGGAACCTGCCTGCAGCGAGGCGGGGCCTGGCTTGCTTTCTGAGAAGTTTGTGAGGAAGATGTGACTGATCTTTAACAATATAAAGCTTTTATGAGGCGGGACAGAAAGAATGAGGGAGGGAGGGAAGAAAAAAAGAAAAAAGAGTAAGAGGGTAGAATTAAATTTCCTAAAGAAAACAAAACAAAACAAAACAACAACAACCCTGTGTTGTGTTACCTTAAAAATGTTAATAAGAGAATGGTGCTCAGAAGCCCTGTAAATAAGAAGGGGAGTGGAACAGCTACATGAAGGATGTCTCAAGTGGGTCAGCAATGAATCATGGGGGCGGGGGAAGCCACCTTTATTTGCTGGAGATCTGAACCATTCCCTCTTCCAGCATCCTGAAGTCCAGTGTCATCCCTGCTTTTTCTTCCCGGTTGCTGGTGTTTCTGATCCTTTGGCCTTTGGCAGGTAAAGGCCATGGCTGTGTATCACTCCTACTGGTTGTAAAATGCCCTCTGCTCTATTCTAGTTTGACGGCACTAAATGAAGAGGATGGATGGGTGTGGGTTCACCATGATGAACTACAAGTCATAGGAGAATGAAGATGAGTGACTTCTGTCTTAAAAGACTTCATCTCTTGTTCTTCCTTGGATCCCAACCCGTTTTTCATAGAATATGGTCAATACTTCTAGTTACAAATGGCAATCCCCCACAGATTCAAACTAGTAAAAGAAAGAAAAATTCATAAGTTGGAAATCCAAGGAGCTGGTTCTTGCTGCCTCAGCTGTTGGATTCAGGAGTTCTTTGTATCTTCAGAGTTTTCTTTATCCCTTGCAATCTCTGTCTGGGTGACTCTAGCTTTTCATGCATCTGAGAACTCAAAGTTCCCAAAGATGAAAGATCTTTTTCTCACCAGCTCTGCTAAAGTTGTCTAATACGTCCAATTGCAGAGGAGATAAAATGTGTGTGGGGTGTGCCCCCTCAAACTCTTGGCAATGAGTATAATGATTAGAAAAAATAACAGTGAACTGCACCAGTAGCTACAGTACCTTGTTCCTGTTTGACAATGTTTGTTCACTTGGAAAATATTAATCCATTATTTAGCTGCATTAATTGAGGCAGCATAAAAATAGGTGGGTCCTTTGTGCCAGACCTAGGACAGTGATTTTATTTGTACATTTGATCATGTCTGGGGTTTGAGCATTCATTGTTCAAACTGAACATGAATTCCTGTCTGGTCCTTTTCTCATTCTTGATGTGTGTTCTTCTTAAAAAGCAGGTTCTTAGAAAGCTTGCTATTGTACTCCCAAACCCCAGATTAGGCTTAACGGTCATTTTTTTCTGCTTTCTACAAATCAAGAATCTGGTTCCTTGTGTTGTACAGTTCAAATCTGAAGTCAGCATTTGAATAAGAGATATGACTTGCTAGTAGCCCAGTTCTTGATTGACAGTAGTGAAGTTTTACTTGCAGATTTAATGGTTACTCCTAAAACTGTTTTGCTTCTGTTAAGAAAGCAAATTCTTCAAATCCTGAACCAGAAAATTAGGTTTGCTGTAACTTAGACCCTATATATCTTTTCTGAAGTATTATAGCTGTTTAATTGTCCTGAATATTTAGAAAAAGAATGAATAATGATAATGTTTCATTTCAGCCATGTATTCTTATACTCCCAAGGACTAAGTGGGATCAGATTGGTTCATATTAGTATCTCTTTCTGTTAACACAAGCAAACCACCCAGTGAGTGCAATTACCATCTCCATTAACACAGCTGTCTGGTGAAACTAATGAATTTTCATGTAAGTTCAAGAGTGACTGCTGGCTGACATTTCAGATTATCTAACTAAAGTGACAAGTTCTGTCATTCAAATTAGCATGGAAGTTGAATGGTTAATAACCGTTATCATCCTGTGTCACTTTGACTTTGAAAAAAAAAAAATGTTGCAAACACCACCATCTTGGGATGAAAAATCAGTGGTGATATTTTATGAATTGTTTTCTCCCATTCTTTTTTATCCCTTGAATCTACTTAGGATTTTCATTTTTACAAAGCAGCTTCATGTCTAGGACCTACCCATGAAAGAAGCCATTCTATGCTATATAAGAAGTTCAAAATGCTCTTCCTAGCCAGGTGCAGTGATCCATGCCTGTAGTTCCAACTACTCAGGAGGTTGAGTCTTCCTCCAGTCACCAAGAGAATCAGATGGGCTGGAGTGCAGGGGAGATATGCATCCTATACACAGAAGTTGTAGTAGAAATTATTATGTTACTTGGGGGTGGCTATTTGGCCTTTTTGTATTATACATTCACAGTGATTCATTTCTCAGGCATGTTTTGGATTCAGTGCATCCCAGTGATGGGACACTGAATGAAGGGATGAGTGGGCACATTTCATAGCTGTGTGCTGCCAACACAGTGAGAGGTTCTCCAAGGGCAGCTGGAAGGAGCCCAGTGTTAAGACAGAAGAGGGAAAAAGCAGAATGTACCTTCCTTGCAACCTAAAACTGCAGGGCCAGCCTTGCTTGATATCTGATTTACATTTCAGGTACTCAGTAGGAAAATACTAGCCCAGCATTATTATGTTTAAACAATTAGAGCTCTCAAAATAAATCACAACCACATGAGCAGGATTGAGCTATTGGAGGGTTCAGTGTAAAATGTGTGACATCCAGTGCTGAGAAAGAAATGGACAAAGGGAACCCAGGGAGGCAATTAGAGTGTTTTTTGTAGCTCAACTGAGACATCAGCAACCTGTGTGTGGGGCTCAGTGCAGCTGACTGTGCCAGAAAACAGAGTGCTGCTGTTCTCTGGAGGTGTTCTCACTCTTCTTGGAGTTTCCATTTCACTTGATCCAGGTTCTTCCCAAAAGATTTCCTTTGGGTTGACATTTCTCCCACGTGATTTAAGCCCTGTAATGATTTTTGAAGAGATTAGTCAGATCATTTTAAGGTATTATCAGTCAGTTATAATCCAGCCCATCACTTGTGCTAGGTAATCTTAAGTGCTGAGCTCAGGCTAAGGAGATAACAAAGTTCTGTTAGGAACACTGGTGTAGTGGTTTTCAAACAGATATGATTTGGGCCTTTGATGCAAAACCTGTGGCCTCCACTTTTGGAAAGGAAACATGTTTTCATAAAGTTTTAGGACAATATTGGAACCCCTTTTTTCTGGGGGAGGAGTACTACAGATTGAGCTCAGGGGCACTTGACCACGGAGCCACATCCCCAGCCCTGTTTTGTATTTTATTTAGAGACAGAGTCTTACTGAGTTGCCTAGCACCTCACTTTTGCTGAGGCTGGCTTTTTCGGTTTCTTTTTCCTTTTTTTTTTTTTTTTTTTTTTTTAGTTGTAGATGGCCACAGTACCTTCATTTTATTTATTTGTTTATGATATTATGATACATCGAACCCAGTGCCTCACATGCACTAGGTAGGCACTCTACCACTGAGCCAGGACTCCAGCCCCTGGGGCTGACATTGAACTCACCATTCTCCTGCCTTAGCCTCCTGAGCCGATGGGGTTATAGGCATGCACCTCCACGCTTGGCTGGAAATCCTTTCTATGGTTGCTGTTACCTGTTGGGGCCTCAGCCATCAAAGGAATAAGCTTTGAACTTATTAAAGATGTTCTTATTCTCAAGTATATCTTTAAGAGTCAATTTGCCACTTGCATTGCCCTCTCATTCCTATGGGACCTGCAATTCATGCTCTAATGATACTCAGCTGCCTGTGGCTCCCTAAATGGCTTACTATTCTATTTTATTTTTTTTTTTTTGCCTTTTCTTTTGCCATCCTTCTTGTCACTAGAAACTCAAGTCCAGTGTTGTCTTCATTGTGGAGGCTCTGCGCTCCTCTCTAAGATCTGTTGGTTATCCCACTTTCTGCACTACTCTGTAACCACCTTTATTTTTCTCTGTCAATCTGAATTGTGACTGTTGGAGGCTGTGGATTCAGAGAGAAAGAACTATGATTTGCCCGCTTTGTCTCAGTATCTCTGCCTGGTACTCAGATCAGTGATTAGGAAATAATTGTTGATAGGAATTGGGACAATTTTTTTTTCCACTGATGTCTTGAGTATCATGTTTTATGGCCCCCTACAATACAAGCTCATTGGCCTAGCCCAAATTCTTAGCTTATTTTAAGTATATTTGATCATCTTCTTTGACCATAATAGCAAGCACATGAACTGAGTCCGTTTCTATCACTTGCCTAGCAATTTGTTGCAAACTGCTTTTTAATTTAGTTAATAGTTGCCTCAGATTATAAAGTGCCAGGGAGTAGTCTCTGAGCAGTATCTCTGTTCCAGCTCAACACTGATGTCTGGTTCTCAGACACTGTGTATTTGTGGACTCACTTAGTTGGAACTTCTGTTGTATCTCATACAAGTTCAAAGTGCTCTGGAATGGAGATGACTAGGATAGTGGTAGGCAAACAAATAAAGTCTAGAGAAAGAGTGGAAAGCTTTTCTCATAACTGACTGGATAGTAAATGTTTTAGGCTTTGGGAGCCACGTGATCTTTGTTCCATCTACTTAGCCATTATAGTGTTAAAGTGGGCATAGTCCACATATAAAGCAAAGAATGTAATTATTGTTTGATAAAACTTTGTTTATGGACACTGAAATTTGAATTTCTTGTAATTTTCATATACTATGCAATATTTCTTTTCTTTTAACTTTTGTTTAAGCATTTACAAATATAAAAAAAAAATTCTTGGGAGCCAGATGTAGTGGTGCACGTCTGTAATCCCAGCAGCTCTGGAGACTGAGACAGGAGGACTATGAGTTCAAAGCCAGCCAAAGAAATTTAGTGAGGCCCTAAGCAACTCAGTGAGACCCTGTCTCTAAATAAAATACAAAATAGGGCTAGGGAAGTGGCTTAGTGGCCAAGTGCCCTTGTGTTCAATCCCTGGTACGCCCCCCCCCAAAAAAAATGTTCTTGGCTCAAAGCATTACAAAACCAGGTGGCAGGTTGTATGTAGCTGATGGGTCCTTGTTTGCTGAACTTTGTTCCTTGTTTGAAGGATGCCAGTATAGAAGCAGTAACTGTGTCTTTATTATATGGGCCCTTACCACCTCTTATGTGTTAGATTATACACTGTGTGTTAAAGTTCAGTGTTGAGACTGATGTGTGCACAAATACAAATACAGACATGAGTGCAGTGGGAGGGGTTTGCATTGCGTATTCTGGGAATATTAGAGCAGGGCACTTAACTGAGCCTTCAGTTTAGTGGGATAATAGTATGTCCACGTAAGAGTAGGCAGGGAAGCTTTCCTGGTAGAGGTGACACCTCCTTAGTTGAATCTAGGATGAAATAGTGAGTGGGTCCAAAGACAGTTTCTAGCTGAAAGCTCCATGTGCGCAACTAGCAGTTGAGAAACAATATCCTAATTAGAAAGAAACTACAAGGATGAGGTTTTGCCATTAAAAAGTAAAGGATATTAAGAGAGGAGGACTAAAGCAAAGCAAGCAGCTGGGCCAGGCCACAGAGGATGAGGACTTCATCTTGACAGTCTTGAGAAATTATTGAAGGGTTTTATATGGGAAGATGTGACTGAATTGGTTTGAACCTGATCATGCTGGTGCAGGAAGGAGGACCAGAAGGGTTGAGTCAAAGGCCATCCTTGGGGTGGCCAACAAAGGGGTGCATTGTATTGATGGAGCAGCCTAGCTTCTCCTTGGCCACTCTGATAACTGAGCACTTTGATTAAGACTGTAAGTCAAAGAAATTTCATAGGTCTCTCTGCCAAAGTAGCCCAGGCGACCATTATGTACCTACTCTCCACAGTATAGATTAGAAACTATTAATAACTATTTTATTCCTTGTCCTTATCCAAGGTGTCTCTGAGCTTGCAGTGACTTCACATGCATGGAGTTTGACTGGAAGCTCCATATGAACTTAGAGGTCTCGGTGACTATAAGGTAGAAATGGTGAACTTAAAAAACAGAACATCACTGGAACCTAGCACCCAGTATGGTGCTGCCCTATGGTAGGTGGAGAATTCTGCTGATCTGGCTTGTCAGCATTTAGAAGACATCTGTACTGTCATCAACATCACTAAATACTTTAGGTTGATCTCCAGCATCTCTGTTGATTAGTGCTTTCTCAGTGACCAGCTGTGTTATGCAAACCAAGTTTCTCAACTTGGAAATTTAGTTATTTTGTGAGCATATTCAGTAAGCATAGTAATAAGGAAGGAGTTGTTTTTTCCTGCAAAGTTTTGTAGCTTCTAATAAAAAGGTAAAGCATTTAGTTCAGAAAGGTTTTGTATTATTTTGATAATTATACATTAGACATGACTAAGAATTGTAGGTCTCAGAAGTAACATTAATGAGAGCTCAAACATGAAAATAATCAATGTTTGACAATGTTCAGGGGAGTAAGGAATTGGGCTATTTTGAGCAAAGATATTCCTGTATCTTTATTGAGTTTAGGAGAATTACTCTGACTGCTACATGGAGAATTGAAGGTCAAGGTTTCTGAAGCAGGAAGAGCTTCAGGAGACAGCATTGTAATCTTTATTAGCGAGGCTGGTGGTTTGGCCATGTTGGCATTGGTTTAGGGGTCAGAAATGACATGACTCTAGATATACTTAAGAAGCAGAGGACAGAAATTGTTGAGTTGGTTAAAGGATGTAAGAGAAAGGAGGAAGGGATTATTTTCTAGGTTTGTGGCCTGAGTGAGTGAAAGGATCCAGTGCTCACTTACTGGGGTGGAAGCCTGCCTGATTGTGGAACAAATTTGGGTTTGAAGATTGTAGTAGGATGGAAAAGGGAGGTCTTAGGAGTTCAGTTTAGTAGAGATATTAAGTAAAAAGTTGAATATACTGCTGGTAGGGTGGTGTACACCTGTAATTCCAGGTATTTAAAAGACTAAGCCAGGCTTAGTGGTACATGCATATAATACTAGCAACTTGGGAGTCTCAGACAGGAGGATCACAAGTTCAAGGCCAGTGTGGCCAACTTAGTGAGATCCTGAATCAAAATAAGTTTTAAAAGGACTGTGAGAATAGTGTAGTGGGAAAGCATTTGTCTAGCCTGTGGCTTAATGAGAAATTACAGCCAATCCATCATTAAGGATAAAAATTGAGGAAATAAGCATTTCATCAGGGAAACATTTCTTTTTAATTGACACAATAACTATATATTTATTGGTACAGTGTGATAGTTAGATATATGTGTACAATGTTTAATGGTCAGATCAGAGCAATAACTTTTCTTTGTGTTGGGAACCTTCAAATACCTCTTTTCTAGTTATTTTGGCACAAAGATGACAGCTCATGTATGTTTGCTGTCCAGATGTTCCAGTTACTACGCTGAACACCTTCCATCTCCTCCATGGGTCTCCGTCTATCCCCAGTAACTCTACACATTCTATTACCACATCCTCTTACTCCAGTTTTATAGTTGGTGAATGGTGAAGCACAGCAAAGCAACTAGCTTGCCCAGGATCATGTGTTTAATAAAGAATAGGCAAGTCTGTGCCATGCTTTTCCTGTCTATTCGGGTGCCTTCTCCCATCTCAAGGAGCAGTGTCTGTCAACTGACTGGGGTTTGAACTCTCTGTGGGTCACTTTTAATCTTTGTGATCTTAGGCAAATTACTTTCAGTCCAGCTTCCTCATCAGTAAAATAAAGATAATTCCTACTGCAGTGATTGCTGTGAGAAATAATTGTAGAAATACTCCTGAATCAGCACATAAAGAAATATTCTGTTGGGGGTGGGGTTGTGGCTCAGTGATAGTGCCTGGCATGTGTAAGGTACTGGGTTTGATCCTCAGCACCACATAAAAATAAAAAGATATGTGTCCACCTACAGCATACACACACACACACACACACACACACACACACACACACACAGGCACACACACACACATAAAGAAATAGTCTGTCTATGATACATATTTAAGCTGGGCATGGTGACACATGCCTATAATCCCAGTTATTCAGAAGGCTGAGGCAAAGGATTGCAAATTTAAGGACACCAGGGCCACCTCATGAGACCCTGTCACAAATGGATAAAAAAAAATGTGGCATTTATACACAATGGAGTATTACTCTGCATCAAAAAATGACAAAAATCATAGAATTTGCAGGGAAATGGATGGCATTAGAGCAGATTATGCTAAGTGAAGCTAGCCAATCCCTAAAAAACAAATGCCAAATGTCTTCTTTGATATAAGGAAAGTAACTAAGAACAGAGTTGGGAGGAAGAGCATGAGAAGAAGATTAACATTAAACAGGGGTGAGAGGTGGGAGGGAAAGGGAGAGAGAAAGGAAATTGCATGGAAATGGAAGGAGACCCTCATGGTTATACAAAATTACATATAAGAGGAAGTGAGGGGAAAGGGGGAAAAAACAAGGGGGAGAAATGAATTACAGTAGAGGGGGTAGATAGAGATGATGGGAGGGGAGGGGAGGGGGGATAGTAGAGGATAGGAAAGGCAGCAGAATACAACAGACACTAGTATAGCAATATGTAAAACAGTGGATGTGTACCGATGTGATGCTGCAATCTGTATACGGGGTGAAAATGGGAGTTCATAACCCACTTGAATCAAAGTGTGAAATATGATATGTCAAGAACTATGTAATGTTTTGAACAACCAACAATAAAAATTTAAAAAAAAAATTTCAAAGGTTTGAGAATGTAGTTCAGCAGTGTAGCACTTTCCTAGCATGAATGAAGCCCTGGATCTCATGCTCAATATTGAAGAAAATAAAGGGAAAAAGAAGAGTGAGTGATTAAATATGGTGCTAAGTACAGATTACTGCATCTCTTGTGGGGACCTGGGCAGGTATGGAGGAAATGTGTATATGCCAGCTAAAGGCTAGTGATCTTTCTCAGCTTACAACTTTGATATTAATTATAAGGATAAATAATCAAATATATATTTTATAAAAAGTAGATTTAGTATATCTTTAACATGATATTGTGCTGTTGCTGTTGGTGGTGGGGATCAGGTGGCTTATTTAATCTGGGGAAGCAGGAGCAGAATTCTGGGGGACATTCATAGACAGAACCTTGATCCTTTTTTTGTATAGATATGTTTTATAGATGGGAATGATTTAAAAGTCTTCTGAGGAAATATTACACTAGAACTTTCAATGCAGTAAGTAAATTAAAAGATGTAGATGTTAAAAAAGCCATTGAAAGATGGGAGAAATTAGCTTACAGAGTAGACATGGGGGAATTTATAGAAATGATGGGCTCCTCTGTGGATGATATAAAATGCTTAAGCTGGCACTTGGACTCACAGGGTGGATTGCCCTAATTTTCCTGCTGGAAGATATTATACTTTCTCCTGTACATCACATAGCCCTGGGAGTATTTATTCCACTCATGTATGAGAGCTGTGTGTGAGATGCATGCACTACTTCTTTCTTTTACAGGCTGTTCAAAGGATAAAAAGATACTGATTTTACTTTCTTTTTTTGGGAGGGGGGGGTCCTGTTCTTTCCTTCACCTAGGAATAGGCCCTTTGAGAAGAGGTACCTGCCCTCAAACACATGCGTGTGCACATACGATTTCATATCTCTAGGATGCACTTCACTCACACAGAACATGACCAAGAACTTACAAGTAAATGTCCGAACAAACAAAACAGAGTTGGCAATATCTGTGTGCTAAAGCTCATGATACTCGTTAGTAGCAGTTTAGTAATTGTTTTTTATGCTTAAATCTAAAGGTGCTGATTTCTGGACCAAAATAATTTAGAAGAATTATAATGGCTGTGGGGATCAGCCCTTGTCCTCCAATGTGCCCTCTGGTGTTTGGTTCCTAGCATGGATAAAACATGGGAGGGCATCTCCCATCCTCATTTGACCTTCATCTTACCTCTAGCTGGGGTTGTTGACCCTTCAGAGCTCAGCTGCAGATTCTGTCCAGCCCGGGCTTTGGACTCCAGACTCTGCGGCTGTCAGGACTGTTGGTTCTGTATTCTCTACTGCCTTCTACTGTCCTCTCAAGGGGAAGAGTGTGTCTTTGGGGAGAGAGATTACCTAACTCAGACTCAACTTACTAACTGTACCAGGCGGCCATTTCCACCCCACTTTCACCACCCTTGTCCTTGCCGTTCCTTCCAACGTACTGCAGAGCAAGGAGCACAGAACCCTTTCTTTAAAACTGCCAGACCCACCTGGAAATGTCTGTTGAACCTCCGTCTCTATTCTTGGGTCTTGAACCCAGTATGATACTGAACAAGCCCCATGTTTGTATACACCTCTATGCTCACCTTTTTATTCTTCTGTTCTCTTTTCACCCTCTTATTCTTTCTCCCTCTTCTTCTCCATTTCTAGTCTGGGAGAGTTTTTCTCCTTCCTATGAGGATGTCATTTTTTAAAAAAATTCTCAATGGCTTCTAATTCTTGATATTCAAAAGGAAGCTTTAGGAATTTAGAAAACCATCTCCCAGCACTGCCATACCCTTGCTAATGAAAGCCTTGGCAACTGGACGCCTTGACTTGCACAGCTAATGACTAGGAACTGAGCAAGCCTGTTTGGGATATAAGACTGCATTGTCTGCTTTGTTTTGCTGTCCCCCTGAAACAATGCCGTTGCCTCAGTGAGAAGCATAAGAAATTACTGGGAATGAAAAATACAAATGATAACAGTGAAACATATTGTCCAGCTACAGAATCAAATGTGGAGTAGTAAATTTAACACCACCCTCCCCATTTCCTAATGTTGAACTTGATTAAGTTAAGTTCAGCAGTTTCCTATTGAATAGCACAAGTGTGGAATGGAGAGAAAACTGGAGGGAGTGATTTTCTTCTTGATCATGTGAGCCAGTCTACCTTTTAAAAAGCCATACCTGTAGATTGTGAAGTCGTAAAGACCTTATCTCTGGAGGTCATGTCATTCTTACGACTTTTCCATTTCTCCTTGGGCAACACAATACAAATACTTGGATAATTATAGAGGAAATTTTAGGAGTTATTTTGAGAAATCCCAAGTCACATTTAGGATTAGATCATGTTTTTAACAGGGCTTTGATGGTGATAGGACCTGGAAAGTTCAAAGTCAGGCCACTGGGTTTAGCGTCAAGCACACCCTGTTATATTCTAGCCTCATCACTCCATTATCCAGATTTTGTTCACTTGTTAAATTTCTTTAGAAATCTTTTACTTGTGGAGTACAAGTGACTCTTTGGAATAGAAAGCAAAATTATTTTTAGCCTGTGTTCTGTGCCATGGGCTCCTACACAACTCCCAGGTTTGGGGGTCTGACATGACATCTTCATAAGCCAAAGACTGGTCTTCAAGAAATAATTGATGTTTAAAAATTTTCCAAAATCAGACGTAAATTCAGAAATTATTTTTTTTACAAGGCCAGTATAGATTTGAGCTGCTGACTGAATGAAGGGTACCAGGGGTGCCTACTGAGATGTTTGTATTATTCTGTTTGAAGAAACAAATGGACCTGGCATTGCTAGGGAATATATGAAGCTGGTTTTGTTCACCTTGAGGGTTCAAGATTTATACACTCTGAGTAGCAGGACCCAAGTAGTCTTTGGGAAGTTGACAGAATGATCTATTATTTCTACACTTGCATCAGGAAGTAAAGAAAGGTTCAATCTTGTGCAAAAAAAAAAGGAAAGTAATAGCTTTTAACTCATCTATTCTGATGAGATCTTGGCAACTCTGTACTGTTTGCTTACTGTGTTTGTCAGATCTAGGCTGGGTGTGGGGAGATGACTTAAAACACTTTAATGCTTTTATATAACTATTATAGAACTTCAAACACAGCACAGCAAACTTTTCCCAAAAAATAATTGTTATTTTTTTTTCTGCAGCCTCAATTATATATTGGAATTTCCTGCATCATATGACTTTTTAGGAAGAACTCACAGTGAAATGCAGAATTATTTAAAATTGTAGACTCTAGCAGGCAAATGTGCTATTTTGGATTCATAAGAACCATTAAAAATGAGCAAATATTAGCATACTAAAATGATTTTAAAACTCAGTGATTAAAAATGTTCAAGAAGTACTTTCATCATTGACTAATATTTCACTCAGCTGTAGGGACTAGAGTTGAGAAAGGCAACAAAAGTATTTATTTATTTACATTTTACAAGTAGATGATAAACTCAGAATTTTAAAACATATTATTTTGTGGTTTGATAGCTTATAGTCAGTATTTTGATTAATATATATTTAGACATGGTTAAATATTTATATAGATTGCTGTTCAATTTTAAGAATTCACTGCATTAACCTTTATTATTTATAGTGAAACTTGTAGTAAGTTGTCAATGCTTATTAGGCATAACTAACATATAACTGTTACCTGAGGGTATAAAACAAGAGACTTTTAGTGACAGTCACTACTTAAAGGAGAAAAAGCCATATCTTAAATATACTTTAATCTATACTCTTATATAAATATACCTTCCAGGCATGCTTACGAAGGTGATGTCCCAGTTCTTCCTTTATTAATAGGACATATCAGTAAATTCCCACACACCTGTGGAAGAATACATCCCACTCTCAATTTAATTTTTGTATGTTGAATATACTTTTGGAAATTTGAGATTCTTTCAAGTAGTAAAATTTTCTGTTTAGTTTTTACAACTCTTGTCATGTCTAGACAGGCATTTATTTCTCTCTACATTTGTTGGAGTACTTAGGTGCTCACTTTGTACCTGAGCCCCAGGGGCATCACATTGTCAAATTTAATTAATGGATGGAGCAAGCCACTCCACTCTGTTGGTCAGAAAAATAAAAACAAACACGAATTATCATCAGAACCAGAGAACTGCAGTAGATGGATTGTTCCTAACTAACATATTGTGAAATAAGTGACTGTTTTTGGCCTTAACACCAGACGTGTTGTTTGTTTTTGAAGATATTTTGGAACAGTTATCTAATTTGTTTGGCGAGTTTCATAACAGAGGGGGAAAGGATAAGCATTTATAAAGATTTTAACCCCAGCCAAGCACAAAAATGTTCATTTCTGTGAAGAAAATGGAGAGAAGAGTTAATTTGTAAAAGTTTCATTTAAATAATGTGGCTTTGTTGCAAACAAAGGCCATCCACATTTCAATTATTGTAGACAACATCTGGGATCAATAGTTAGTTCAAATTTACAGTGAGAAGAAAGTCATGGGAAGCAACTGCTTCATTAGTTTATAAAACTGGAAGAGGAGGAGAACAGAGGGCATGGTTCTCAGGGGAACTTGGTGCCCTATAAAAACCCTGAGGAAAGATTTAAAAGTTCATTTATAATTGATAAATGCTGAGTTGGTAATGTTCATTTTTATCCTAGTTCCCTGATTTGGTTATTATAGTTTCATGAGTTTTGCCTCAACTTCTCATTAAAATTTCCAAAACAAACTAGCAGCATTTTTTCCCCTTAATATCTTTTCACTTTAAAAATAGTCATTGACAGGAAGCAAAAAGGTTTCATAGAGAATTTATAAAGTGGAAATTGCAAGGGTCTATTAATTTCCTGGATAATATTAAGCCACATGAAAACGAGGTTCACAAGTTACCCTATATACAGTGATGCAATTATTCCTGTAAGGCCTTACAAGTTCCACTAATTTGCCAAGGTACAGAATAGTTGGCCTGGGCTCCCCTCAAATTCCCAGAGACCTTACTGAGCTCCCTTTGCTCAGATGACTCCCGTGTATACACTGGATATGGGGTACAAAAAAAGTGTAGTTGAAAGAGACTGTTGTTCCTAGTGTGACTGTGTACCTATGGGGAAAGGGAAGTGATGGAAGAAGGACAGAGTGATAGGACAGAGTGATTTCATAATCTGGGCAGTGTGGGTGGATCACCAGCTTTTGTCAAAATTAGTGTGGTGGCTTCTTCTGGGATCAGACCAGAATGAGCAATGTGGTAGTGGGGAGGAATTAGCTCAGCCCATTGTCTCTTCACATTTGACAAGAACTCTCCAGTGCTGTACCCCACATAATGCAACTTCCCTTCCTCCCATTCTGTAATTCCCACTGCAAGTGGACTTCTTATTTCACCTGCTGTAGCAATTAAGTAATCTTTTAGGTAGCTTGAGAATTCAGTAATTGATTCTAAATAGCCAACTTTATGAAATCTCTGAAATGCAAATCTTTTGTAAGATTGAGACTCACGGTAGTTTGTTCTCAGTATAAGATTTTAACAACGAGTTCTAATATAATATGCAAAAGAATTAATTTTTGGTAGCTGCTGTGAACATCAGAAAGGTGTAAGATCTTCATTAAAATCAAGTACTATTGTTTGGAATTATTTGGAAGGGTAGAGGCCTGCCATGAAATAGAAGAAATGAAGAAATGAAGATCTGTGCCAAGATTCCCTTATAAATCATGAATTGTAGTGAAGATAGAAAGGTTTAATTCAAACCTGTAAATGATTATAGTTGTTTTAGTCAACTTCTTCATCGCTATGACTGAAAGACCTGACAAGAACAATGATAAAGGAAGAAAAGTTCACTTGTTGCTCACAATTTCAGAGGTCTCAGTCCATGGATGGCTGACTTTGTTGCTCTTGGCCTGAGATAAGGCAGAACACCATGGCAGAAAGATGTGGTGGAGGAAAGCAGCTCAGTACATAGCAATCAGGGAGCAGAGAGCTAGCTCCTCTCCACAAGGATAAAGGATAAGCCCCAAAGGCACACCCCCAGAGACTTGCTTCCAGCCACACCCTACCTGCCTACAATTACCACTCAGTTAATCCCTGTAAGTGAATTTGTGCACTGATTAGGTTAAGGCTCTCGTAACCCAATCATTTCACCTGTAAATTTTCTTGCATTCTCTCACCCATGAGCTTTTGAGGACCACCTCATATCTACACCATAACCGTAGTTAATGACAAAACCCATAAATTTCCCTTGATGTTGTTGACTGAAGCAGTTTAAAAGCTAACTTTCAAAGACACATATACAGATTAATTAGTTAAGGAAGTAGTATCTAAAGGGTTAGAAAATTGGGGGCAGGCATGGTGGTGCATTCGTGTAATCTTGTGACTTAAGAGG